AGTCTAGAACACAACAGAACTCGTATTCAAACATTTCCTCTACTGTTTTTACAAAAATAGTACAGGGTGGGCAAAATTGGGCGTTTTCGCCGTCTATCTCAATAACTAGAGGAGTTATCGAAAAACCGATGTTCGGGGTTCGATTTTGGAGAAACCTCGAATGGCACAATCAAAATTTAGATATCTTCATTCGTTTTAGAGATACAGGGGGAAATTGAAAATTTGCCGATTTCGATTTTATTTTCTGACTACTTTACGGTGAGAGGTATCACAAAATTTTAAACATATATTTATACAGTATGATGCGTGGAATCCATTGGCATCATCAGAAATTTTATACAGGGTGACGTTGAAAAGATACGGCAGCCAATTATGTTTTTTCTAATGGAACACCCCGTATATTTTGGCACAGTTGAATAGTCCCAGGCGTTCTCTATACAAATATATATATAACCCTACCTTTTCCTTCCACAATTCCAGATATATTCGCAAAAATATAGTCAGTGTGTCACATTTCTTATGGTTACACCCCCGTATCTTCTGTAAAAATAATTGAAGGTAGGATTCAAAAATTCGCAACTGTCAGAAAGATACAAATGATACACTCATGGAGTCATGGACCAAGTGGGATCATCTCCAATGATAACACTGCTCGCCAGCAGCTATGGAATCATCGATATTTCTGGATAATGCTATCAACAGGCAGAATCGAGGTTGAAAATGACACTCTGTATATATTCACCAAAGGTGGAAAATGAATATCATAGGGAATGTTATTTCCAGACGAATGGATATTTGGTGAGAAATAAAATGGGAAATTATTCGATTTGATATCATTGTTATCAAGACATTTGAGATACAGAAATAAGACCAATAATTTACTCAATTAGGAAATCAGTAGGTTGAAAAATATAGCCTTATAGAGGATGTTCAAATTCCAGATACAGAAGATACGGGGGTGTAACCATAAGAAATGTGACACACTGAATATATTTTTGCGAATATATCTGAAATTGTGGAAGGAAAAGGTAAGGTTATATATATATTTGTAATGAGAACGCCTGGGACTATTCAACTGTGCCAAAATATACGGGGTGTTCCATTAGAAAAAACATAATTGGCTGCCGTATCTTTTCAACGTCACCCTGTATAAAATTTCTGATGATGCCAATGGATTCCACGCATCATACTGTATAAATATACGTTTGGAATTCTATGATACCTCTCACCGTAAAGTAGTCAGAAAATAAAATCGAAATCGGCAAATTTTCAATTTCTCCCTATATCTCTAAAACGAATGAAGATATCTAAATTTTGATTGTACTATTCGAGGTTTCTCCAAAATTGAACCCGGAACATGTATATCAGTTTTTCGATAACTCCTCTAGTTATTGAGATAGACGGTGAAAACGCCCAATTTTGCCCACCCTGTACATTATCACAATGACTCAATTGCGTTATTATTTAAAAAAAAAACTCATCGCCCATCTTATAGATGAGCATTACTTGACAGGAAAGCAGTTATTTATTATAGCCGATTATAGCCGTAGAAAAATTATAGTGTATAACTTGCACGGAATGCTAATTTCCTATATACTCGAATGATTGCAGCATGAGCCATATATTGTTTAACGAGCACGGAATGATAGTGATTTCCTATGAGAATGAAGTTTGCAGCATGAGCCGTAGGCGAAAAAGTATTTCGCGCTCGAGTTGCAAACAAATTTTTTTGACAAATGTCAAAAAATATAGTTCTAAAGTAAAAATATGCTTAGCTTGTTATAAAAAATAGTGTTGAACTAGCTAAAAAGGCCTGCCTCTATACTCACTAGGTATGCACGATGTTCCACGAACATAATAGGAAGTTGCTTTCGTGCGCTCCAAGAGATAAAACAATGTTATTGTTGAACATTCAGGAATAAATGATTTCGTGGATGTTTGCTCGATTGAGAACCATAAAGTTGAAATATAATTATCTCATATATTTTACATTACAATGCGCGAAGTAGGTACTTCGCAAACTGTTTCACTTCGCGCATTGTGTTGTGCAAAGTATCATGGTAACGTAGGAAACTGAAAAAAAGTGTCACTTCGCAATTTGTAGAAGAAAGATATTAACGAAATGAATTTATAAGCTGAAGGAATTTGTTTTCTGTATGGACTCTGTTTTCAAGAATGTGAAGAATGTGGAAAATGGAATATCCATGCATAGCACAAAGATTCTAGTCCTGCTCTGGCTATATACTCTGGAAATATTAATCCATATTCCTCGATAAGGAAGTAATTACCAACTTTTTTTGAGAGCTGGAACAAAAGCTCCACGATAATATGATTGCAATAAAATGGGACCTAACAAATGCATTATCTCTCTCCCCACTCCGTTCCGAATCCGTATGGATTGAGAGCACTAAAATCCCAGCACGGACAATGATGATATTTCTATTTATATTTTTTCAATCAGATAAGTCTACAGCCTACAGCGTATTATACGTATTCTGGAACGTTGTTGTTATATCAACATTCTCTGGCTGACTGAATGACTAGTGACTTTTGTTGACATATTCAATGTTGGTCATATGAACACCATAGGCCTGTTCGTGTGTGTTTGCTGTACCTGCTAAACTTGATTTTTTTCTATGACTTTCTCTGTTTACATCATGCAATGAACAGAGACAACTATGGCAGAAAAATCAACTTCAGCAAGTTTAGCAATACAAACGAACAGGCCCCATGTCATGTAGTCCATCAAAACTGTTTCAATCTTCTCCTGAAGCTGCTAAAGTACAGGGTGTCCCAGAATAACGTACATTAGATCCAACAGGGTGAACTAGAGTTTAAAATAGGTCGATTTGGACCAACTTACCTCTGTACGAAAATGCACTGTTGGGCCGTGAGAAGGCGATGAATGGAATTTTTTTTTCAGATTTTATTGAATATTTCAAAATCCTTGAAAGGTAATGATCTGGAATTTAGAAGGAAGGCAACTATAAGAAGTGTGCATAGATAACAGGTCTCATCAGTGCAATCGATATACAGGGAGATACAAACTTAGCATTCTGATTGGAGAAAATCCATAGAACTTTTTTCGAGTACGACACTGACCATATTTGAATATCTACTTGAATAACTAAATCAATTATCTATCTTTTATCTCACTACATTTTTTTCTAAATTTTGCTCTCAACAGAACGAAAAAAACCTGCAAACGACTTTGATTGTCAGCAGGAGGTGCAAAGTAAAATCGACCAATGTGAGCATTTTTTCGTATCTACGCTATTATCACCGAAAATCTCCCTGTCAAGTTGAAAATAGGCCAATATGATGAAAAGGTTATTGAATAATTAACATGAATACATGAACAAAATATCAACATAAAGGAGGAAGAAACCTGCAGAACACGATAACTCTGATATCTTACTATGGATGATATGGAGGGACTCCGAAAGAATTTTTTCAGATATCTCGTAAACCATGCAGAATTTAGAAAGACATGTAGTGAGAAAAAAGATAGATAATTGATTTTGTTATCCGAGTAGATATTAAAATATTGTCAGTGGCGTACACAAAAAAAAGTTCTATGGATTTTCTCCAATCAGAATGCTAAATTTGTATCTTCCTGTATATCGATTGCACTGATGAGACCTGTTATCTATGCACACTTCTTATAGTCAACTGCCTTCCAAATTTCAGAGCATTACCTCTCAAGGATTTTGAAATATTCAATAAAATCTGAAAAAAAAATTCCATTCATCGCCCTCTCACGGCCCAACGGTGCATTTTCGTACAGAGGTAAGTTGGTCCCAATCGACCTATTTTGAACTCTAGTTCACCCTGTTGAATTTAATGTACGTTGTTCTGGGACACCCTGTAGTTAGCGAAACACGTGTCCAGGTGTTTGAAAAATCAGTTGGGTTAGTGGTAAAACAGTGTCGTGGATTATCGTGCCAGAAGCTCCAGTCGTCGATATACACCATATAGTATCAATAAATCAATAAATGGGATTTCTTATGACCAATAAACTTGCAATATTAAATTTTATCTCATAATAGAACTTAGTTATCTTATAAATAAAATAAACCACTGGTGCGCTCACTCTTCATTTGTTTCGTCAGACTGGTTCTCGATATATAAACAATTGAATTTCAGACGGTGACGTGGGGTTCACATATTGAATGTTAGATGGCGTGATTCCTAGGACTTATACTTGATCAACATCTGTTCTACCAATGCGGCTAAATCGCAAAGTATTCCCTATTTTCATTGGTCACAATTGTCACATTGATGCCTGTAATTTTGGTACGGCACCAGACTAAACTTATCGAGATTCACCCACGCCATGTTATGTTTATCGGAGTAGGCTAAAATCAAGGAATTGTAGAACAGAAAACAGGTAAGGATTGAAGTGCGTACACCAGAGGTTTATTTCATCAATCTTATCTTATCATTTTAACATTCAAAATATCATCATTACCGAGTGCCCCAGATTTTTTCATACAGCCATATCTCCGTTATGCTGCTTGAGTAAAAATTAAAAAAAATTAAGAACTTTTGTCACTCATATGACTTTGGAGACGTTGTTTCAAAGTCAACTTCAGTCAAACTACCCCTGGCAAGCAACCCCCAATTTCAATTATTCAAGCTAAACCCGATAATTTTTTTTTTAATCGTAAAGTGCAAACAGTTTTCGAATCGTACAATATTTTGACAAACATCAGTCCAATTATCAAGTGTGATACATGGTTGAAGTTAGAATTGATTGCACTTCACAAATAAATAAAATAATGTATAGGGTGTAACTAGAATAATTGAAGGAGGGGGTGGCATTTCAAGGGTAGTTTGACGGTAGTTGACTTCGACACAATGGCTTCAAAGTCATTTGGTTTTGACAAACGTGAAATTTTTTGAAAAAAATTCCCAAGCAGATACCAAGATATTGGGTGTATGTTAAGATCTGGAACACTACACGGTATATAGATATCAAAATTAGGAAAATAACTCACTTCCGATGGGTATATAGGTAACATTTTCTCCACCAACATCTATGCTGATTCCATGTTCCCTCTGAAACAAAAAAAAAAACATTAGTATATTGATTTTCGAATTCACATTCCCAAACAGATTCAGTAAGAAACATTTTCCGTGGTAGTATGAGGAATTGAAAGGTTTCGAATTTTCAACGGTGTTACAATGATGTCAAGGAATTAGTGAGTGTGTCATCACCAGCCATCTCTGGATGGAATCTAAGAGCATCAGCATAATATGTTTGCGTGCCGAACCTCATATATAGGAACAATATTCTAAAACAGGCCGTATTTATTTGATTATCATATATTATCATTATCATATCACAAAAGTAAATATCTATATTGTGAAGTAAAACATATTTCTGTACTCTCGTATCACAATGCACTCGACAATGCACGAGCTATTGAATACATAATCGTTGCATCATACAGGGTGATGCAAAATTCAGTATCAAGATTTCATGGACTTATTTTTCACATCAAAATGAGACGCGACGATTTTTTCAAATAAAAAAAAATGTCTCTGACGTCAGAACTCGAACGTGGATCACCCTGTAAAATTATTTTTCCCTTATAAATGTGCCATATTGAAAATAAAAATCTACCTGTTTTTGGGACATTCCTTAGAAAATTACAGTATAGAGTATACAAACCCTATACAGGGTGTTACATAACTCAATACAAATATTTTGATGACATATTCCTGGGGTCAAAATGATACATTTTTTTCCCATAAACATGTGTCCTAAAATCCACCCCCTCCAAGCTACAGACATCGCGTGTAATGGTAAGTTGAGGAAAGTGAATCGATTGTGACATGACGGTTATGACATACCACAATGTCAGTTCGGCATAAAAGGTATTAATTAATCATCAGTTACCAGAGACAAACATAATCATAGCTCACTAAGTTTGTTTAGTATAATAATTTGAAAATACACCCCTTTCATTTACTAGAGATTTTCTCTAAAACGGTTAGCTAATTCAAGAAAATGCAAGAGACTGAAATGTATGATTTTTTAGTGGCCAATTCAACGATGATGTTTGAATTCAAATTGTTTTGGAGGAAATAGAAAATGTTTGCCATCAAATCTGTATGCAACCCTCATTCACCCCTTTCGATTCGAGTTACCTTATTTTTGAATCAAGAAATGAATAGATCGTCTAAAAATAAGTGCCTGTGAATTTTCAAAATATTTGATGCATAATTGTAGCCACAATTAAAAATTTAAGATTTTTTTTGCGCATCTTGCGATGTCTGTAGCTTGGAGGGGGTGGATTTTAGGACACATGTTTATAGGAAAAAAAGTCATATTTTGACCCCAGGAATATGTCATTAAAATATTTGTATCGAATTATGTAATACCCTGTATATATGATATATTTTTGTATACAGCATTTCATACAGATTCTAAAAATTGAATTATATATAGGGTGTTCTATCTGAAAAAAATGTCGCGGACGTCAGAACTCAAACGTGGATCACCCTGTATATTCAATTTCCACTTATAAATGTGGACAATTGAAAATGAAAATTGACCTGTTTCAGGAATTTATTCCTTCCGTTTGCACCATACCTGCTGGTTTAACGAGAATGAAATTTCCAGTGTCGGTCCTGGCAAATTCTTCGCCATTTTTTCAACTCGCCTCATTCTCCTACATTCTCCCGCTTCCCTAGGTGGTGTTAAAATCCCTAATTATTCATTGATATTGTTTCATAACGTGCGAAAATTCCAGCTGCCATAAACCACCTCCATGTACTCACGTTCAGCGTTGCGGTTTCTCATAAGTTATTGAAGCCATGAGAAGCAGAACTGACAGAATAGAGAACCCTAATAGCGGCAAAGGGGTTTAGCTACCCTCACAAATCATCTGCTACTGAAAAATGGGTAAAGCAGAATAGCTGTCAGTGTCAATGCATATTACTTAGTTATTATGAAATAGAAGTCCAAGAGCCGGCTGCGAATTTCATCTGATAACGAAATGATATACAGGGTGTTCCAGATTTAAATGTACATACGATACCTGTAGATAGAGGATATTTTGATGGTTCCAAATCACTCCCCATTGATGTGCCTACCGTCTTTTATAACTGAGATACAGGACGTTATCTTGATTTTGGCTGAATCTCCATCTGGTCATAGCTATTGGAATGGGTCCCGACATGTTGGCCACTCAGACACACGTGAAAAAGTCTTTCAAAGTCCTCTTTCCGAAGAGAGACGAATGGGCAAGTAGATCAGTCCAATTCCCAGAGACCGAACACGTAATGTACACAGATGGTTCGAAAACTCCTCTTGGAGTTGGAGCCGGTGTGTTCAGCAGAAAACCGAAGACGGAAACTTCCGTCAATCTCGGCAAATATGCTACAATCTTTCAGGCGGAAGTATTCGCAATTGAATTGTGTGCTAGAGAGTTTTCGAATAAACCTCTAGTAAACAGAAATATCAGTATTGTATCAGACAGTCAGGCTGTTCTTAAAGCACTGAGCTCCAGCAAGATAAATTCCAAGCTTGTATGGAGCTGTATTGAATCCCTAGAATGCCTGGGTGCTAACAACAGAGTCACTTTGCTGTACCGGGTGCCTGGACACCAGGGGGTGGAGGGCAACGAGAAAGCCGATATCCTCGCCAAACAGGGAACCGAATCTGTGTTCATAGGACCAGAACCATATTTTGGGGTCACCGCAAGTGCGGCGAAAACAACTATCTCGGGCTGGGCGGAGGGAAAAACACTCACATACTGGTCTGAATTACCAGGATTAACCCATTCGAAGGCGTTCCTGCCTAAACCATTGGAAAAAATAACCAGGCAGATCCTAGAATGGAGCAGGGGTAACCTGCGAATTCTGACTGGACTGCTTACGGGTCTAAGATATCACCTGAGAAGGATGGGTCTGAACCAACAAACGGACTGTCGGTTCTGTTGCGAGGAAGACGAAACGACTGAACACATAATTATTATGTTCACGCTCTAGCTTGGAAAGACTAAGGTTCGACACATTTGACTTTACCAATTTAGAACCTATCGATTTCAGACAAATCTCACCCAATTCAACCATGAACTTTGTAAAAAGATGTGGATTGTACGGTGAACTGTAACCTCTAGGGGTGAGCCACAATAGACCCATCTGGGGTCGCAGTGGAGGGGAGGTATTCGCCCCACTCACATGGAACCTAGCTATTGAACCACTTCGCGACGAGCGCGCATCCGATTTGATAGATGTTTTATTGTTATTTTCTGAAATACTGCTCATCTTCATTTTGAGGCATTTTTTTTGAACCCGTACAAAATCCAATTATTTTACAACAAAATAACAGTCTCCAAAGTTCAACATCATTAGAGTCAAATTAGGTGAACTATTGATAGATTTGTTCATTTGCCAGAATAACTTGTCTGTGGTTTCAGATATTTTTGAGAGCTCATTTAATTATTCACCATTGATGAGATAATTGTTGGTGCTTGTATATTGGGTTCTTATATTTCAAAGTGTTCATAATTATGCTTTATTAACACAATAACAATAATATCACACTGGTGATTATGAACTGTCAGAATTTTAACAGGCTATATCACCACAGCTTATGAATATATGGTGGAGAATGAAATGAACCCTTGAAAATTTCTAAAATCATTGACAAGTTATTCGGTCAAATGAACAAATCTATCGATAGTTCACCTAATTTGACTCTAATAATGTTGAACTCTGAAGACTTTTATTTGTTTGCATCAAAATTGTATTCTGAATTACGACATCAATAAAAATGCATTCGAAATGGAGCTGAATGTTTCAAAACATAATAATAAACCATCTGTCAAATTGAATGAGCGCTCGTGAAAAGTTGGTCAGTCCATTCCTTTTTTCCCGCTCTTTCCGAATATCAAAACAGATTCACACAATTTTGCCATACCAGAGTGCTGTTTTTGAAATAAAAGAAGTTATCTGTTTTCCTTAAGACGGACCTGAATTCTGATCTCGATTTTTATTCAGTTTTGATGTGTAATAAGTGGAACATTACTACCAAGTATGAATAGAATATACGAAGTGGTTCCAAAAATTTTAGGTCGATAGAGCACAATCAATTATCCAAAAAAAATTGTACGACGTATCTATAATTATGCCTAATTTCCACGGCTATTATCTATCTCTGTAACTCATGCTGATAGGTATATACGAGTGAATATATATATACCTCGCTGAATATTCCACTCCACCCTCCAAGGGCGAAATCGTTAGGCCCGAAAAAGTAATTAATATGGATTCAACTGCAGAGAGAACGGGGTTAGAGAATTTACATAAAACATCATTTTCCACGTCTTTCACCCCCAGCCAGGAAGGGTTGGTTTTCTACGCACTACATCTTCAGAAAGTCCCGGTTATAAACGATATTTTCAAATACGATCTGGGGTGGTAATGGAAATACGACGGTCTCAATCCCAGAACGCTCCAAGGGTCTTTCAATATGAGTATAGGGTATATACAGGGTGTTTTGTTGGGAAAGGTAAGTAATTCAACTGTGAATAGGGGTCACTGAGGTGATTTCAAAAAACCCATCGTTAATGGATCTTCGACATCTCATAACCGAGGTACAAAAGATAGAATCCAGGTCCGGCTTCGATTAAAATTCACAAATTGTTTCTGCCAGAAAACAACACCCTATACATTAGAATTTCTAATTTTTTTGCCATATCTGAAAAGAGAAACAAAATGTCTATTCAACTGTGTGCTGATTATTTCTGCACAGACTATTCATATTATGTGCTCAAAATATTATTTTTGCTCATTTTGGGGTAGAAATTGGAATCAGACACGATTTATTGATTGTATTACTTCCTATTCAGTCTACGTGAGTATTGCATTTAGAAGGAGTATTCACATCGTTCTTTGTATCCATCCAGACTCAGTTGCAGGTCCGTCATCAAAACTGGTTGGAAAGTTATGAGACAATAAAGATATGGACAAAATTGATGAAACATCCCGTATCTCATCGGTTATTCGCGAAAATCACTTTCTGTATAAGGAGTATAAGGATAGTC